GAGGTGGACAGTGGGTGCCGCCATGCCTCCCAATCACAAGCACTCAAGGAATCAGCCATCACTATGCTTAGGACAGTCCCGCCACACTGACAGCTCCCCACTCCCCTTGTCAATCCCCTCCATCCCCTGTCTCCCTGCCCTGGCCACTCTGCCCCTCTTCAGAAAGAAACCAAGCTGCCTTGGGGAATGGTGCCAGCTGGTGGCTGGTACATAGAACTGTCCACTCACCACCATCTTCCCATCTCAGAAAAAAACTTAGCATCCTCCTCTTCTTCTTCCTTCTCCTCCTCCTCCTCCCCCGTTTCTTCTAATAATGACACAAAAAGCTTCAATTGAATGTTATGAGTCCAGGGATAGAATTCAGATTCCCACTTCCCTCCAGGGAGACTTGAGGCAAATCACACGAGCTGTCTCTGCCTCACTGCCTTCTCTGTAAACATGGATAGGAATACCTGCCTACCCAGCAGGGCTTTTAAAAAGCAACAGACAGGAGCCTCCACTGTGAACAGCACAGTACTCAGCAAACAGAAGGCACCGAGGCACCTGCTCCCCCTCCTCTGCTAATTCCCCATCGTGTGGCTGAAGGCTCTGAACAATGCTCAGCTCTAGAGAACGTGCAGGATGACTATCGTGCCCCAAACAAGTCAGGTCAGCAACAGATGACCCATGAGCTTTCCTCAGAGGTCAAACATCCCAGCTCTAGACGCAATCACCTGCCTGATGGATTCATGTTCAGTTGGAGCATCATGTGCCTGAGGAGCTGGCACTCACAAACTGGGACTCACAGCTCCCAGCCTCCCACTTACGACAGGAGTAACTACACGTTCCCGTCCACAGGGACTTACAGGTTATGTGGCTCCCCGCCCCTCCCAGGAAGAAAACTGTCACCTCCCAAAACGCCATATCGCTGTAATAAAGATCTCACAGGGGCTAATGAAATTATCTCCTGTCTTTTATTCCTCTGTAACAACCACAAAATTAGATAAAATGACCCCCTGCCCCTTTCATTTAAGGCCTGCTTTATTGTCTTCCACCCTAATTCTCTCTCCTCTAAACAGATATGAGACCCTGAAGACCCACAGGCCGATGGGATTAGTAACCAGGGGCTTCTTCCTCCTGGCCTGCTCTCCAGCGGGCGCTTCTCCTTCCCCGGGGTGGGGTCACAATCAGTTCAATCTTCATGCTTCAGAGACATCCCCTTTGAACAAGATCAAATGTTTCCCCACCCTGGCCTGGTGCTCGGCTCAAAGGAGCAGCAGCCCCTTCTCAGAGCATTAGCGTCAACTCAGCCAGAAATGCCGAAGCAAAGGAGGAGGTCAGCGTGGTTAATTGTCCACCAGGCGAAAACACAGGCCCACTCAAGCCAGCACCTTGGGAGGGCTGATCGCCCCCATAAAATGTTACATGCACTTTGAACCCACAAATAAGGAGAATGAGAACTACTTTCCCCAGCCTGCTGGGCTACAATGGGAGCTTCGGCTATTTGTTTTCTTTTCCAGATTGCAGCCATAAAGGGAAGAGGGCTTCTCACTGGAGGCAGAGATACAAGAGAGGTGGGCACCACCACCAAGTGGGGGAAACGTCGGCATGGGTGAGGCTAATGGAAACAGACCAAGGCTTCACCAGATCTGAAGAAGGAACCTGAGAAAACGGAATTTCAGAAATTTTTCATCTTAAGAATGATCTACAGGGAAAAGAAATCATAAAATGGAGGTAATTTATCATTAAAAGAGATGGAAGGAGAAAATTTTTTTGCTATTTTTGTCTATTGGGAAAAGTTGCTTTTATTAATTAGCTTTCTAAAGAGTTTCCTTTAAACTCAGGACCATAACCCTAAAAGGACCCCAAGGAATGGGGAAGTCATTTCCTAACTAAAAGAGGCCATGAAAGTGATTAAAACAACACCTCTAGTCCTGTAAAGTAAAAAGTCCAAGGAATTCTACTAAAAATCAACTTTTCCTAGAAAAAAAGAGCCTGTAAATTTTTCAAATCAACAACAAAACTCCTACAGTGGATAAGACAAACCAGCCTACAAATTACAGCTGACAAGTTACCTGATCCAAGAAAAAAGTGGTTCCTAAATTATGCATTGATTGAGATCTAGAAATGGAACACAGCAGAGTTTTCCCAGAGATATCAATAAAGGAGCCAGCTTTGCACTGAAACTTAAAAGGCTATTTTGGAGATTTTGCTTCCTCTTTAAGGAACTATAGCTGATCATTAAGGTTTCACCCAGAAACAACAACAACAAAAACCTGATCTTGATTGGAGCCTGTTTCTTTATTTAGGCATTGGTACCTGTTTCCAGCATTTCATCAATAAAAGAAACTGTCAATCAAAACTCAGGATGATAATAATACTGGCATCCAAGACCAGTGGACCAGTTGCTGAGTCCACTAGTTGTCACTATTCCTATTGTTCCCAAAGCCTACTTACAACATAAGGGGACCACACAAGACAGTGTCTTTGGATCAAGGTCAACATACCAAAACAATTTTATTAAAAACACTCTAATTTACAAATTTGTCTGATGAGGCACTCACAGTCCCATCTTTAGCAAGTGTAAACATTTCACTGAGTGAAAGAATAACACCATAGTACATGTCCGAAAGACATATTCCAAGTTCAGAAGCTCTAGGAACTGAGGAACTATACTCCTTCTTGGTGTTCTAAGTAGGATGACGTCGAGTAGCCAAAATTAAGCTAGAGACCTCTGTGAAGTATGCCTGAATACAGACCTGTGGGAAGAAGCCCAGCCCAATAACCTAACCTCTTGATTTACCTCATTGTGATTTTTTTCAAATCTGGAAGAACTATATTATAAAACATAAGGTACGGAGAGCCAGACATCTCCTAGAGGCTCATTATAAATTGGTAAGCACTCCTCATGTGCTGGGCAAGGTGAAGCACAGATACAAGGGCCCTGCACACAGCCACCTCAGCCATAGTGCAACACAAATATTCAGGAATATCTCAAATTCCAAAGATGACTAAAGCCCACTCATATATTTTAACATCTGAACCTTTTAATTTCATTTTTGTTAGCTTATTTTCCAAGTATGATAGACAAACTGATTCCATGGAGACTGGAAATTCCTGGGCAAAGTTCAAATCTTCTTTCTACTCAAACCCTAGGAAACTTTAAGACCATGAAGGGAGTCAACTGGGAGTCAAATTTTAGTTACTGGCTTGTTGTTCATAAATTCTCTTCCAGGTGGCTATGCAGCTAGGATACTCAGCACCAGGTAGTGGACCATGGATAGGTGATTGCTTTGACATGCGTTTTTTGGCCAGGTACCTCTAGTAGGTTGTGGAAAGCACACACAGAAATGGGAAGACRATTTCTTTCTCTTTGTTTTAGGGCTGCACATGCCCAAAACAGCAACTGGAAAGGCTGAACAATGAGTCAGACTGCTATCTAAGCAGAATGAAAAGATAGGAGGCAGGAGCAAAACCTCAAGGCCACATTCTCCTTTGTAAAAGTAGTCTTTGGTTAGATTTAAGTACAAGCCCCGGTTTCCGTGAATTCGACCATCCATCAACTTCTGAAATGATCCAGGTCCCATTCAGGTGAATCACCACCCTGGGGGTTTCTACTCCACAGGATAAAGCTCTACAACCTCAAGCCAATTAGTATCCCCCTCCTACTAAGTACAGAGAAAATAAAATGTACCTATCTAAAGCTTTTCATTAAATTATTTAAATCTAGACTATGTTTCAAGCAAGTATGCAACCCACTGAGAAACATTTGTATTTCCTTTAGGTTTCCAAATTGGGGAAGTCAGTTATTTCCTCCCTACCTGCCTATGCATTTAGATACATGTTCAATCCTACTGCACGCCAACGGCTGGGATGCTGGGATTCCCAGGGTCTAGTTAACAATGTTGTCTCTCTGACTGCAGCCAAGAGGTGGGGGTTGCTGAGGGCCATGGATTGTCATTTATCCATCATTGTTCTATGACCTAGAATCACTTACACTATTCAGGAGAAACGTAATGAAAAAAAAAAAAAGCCTTACTTTTTATACTTTTCAATAGGGATAAGAATCTAAATTCCTATTGATTTAACTATATTATGGTAATTTTCAATTATGTGTGGTAATGTAAGCAAACAGGTAATTAATCCATAAGGCACTCTACAAATCACTTAATTGGTTTAGAATTACATTACGATATTCCCTGTGTCAGGGGGCTATGCCTTAGTTCAGTTTACTAGGGCATGTTTTTTTCCTCAGATAAACATTCATTTATTGATTGAAAATGTGCTCCAAGTCAGGAACCATGCTAGGTGGGAGATGGGAGAAAAGAACTCACAGACTAAAGGAAAAAGATGTGCACAAACAAGTTAGCAAAGCTCTCCATGACAAGAGCATGGGGTTGTGTGGGGATAGAGAAACAGCCATTTGTTCAGTAGATAGATGGAAAAAGGCTAAACTCCAAAGTGCCTCTCATTCAGATGATCTAATAAATAATAGGTAAACTTTTGGGTGGTTGTTAAATGAGGAACAGAATTTTTTTGCAGGGGATGCGGGGTGGGTCTGGGTATTGAACCCAGAAGCACTTAACCACTGAGCCACAACCCCAGCCCTTTATATTTTATTTAGAGACAGGATTTCATCGAGTTGCTGAGGGCCTCACTAAGTTGCTGAGGCTGGCCTTGACTTCGTGATCCTCCTGCCTCAGCCTCCCAAGCTGCTGGGATTACAGGTGTGTGCCATCATGCCCAGTTTGAGGAAGAGGAAATTAAAGCACAGCTCCAAATAAGGGGAGAAGGAAAGAATGTTGATTGATGAGAAGTTCACCAGCATCCATTAAACATCTCCAGTAACTCACAACAGAGGCAGAGGACCATTCTCCTCCTTCCATAGAGGAAATGATATCCTACATTCAAGGATTTTCTTTCTCATGAATGACAGCTTTGGGTGGTCATCAGAGTGCATTTTCATACCATTCTGGGACAAGTCACCTAGGCATAAGTGAACCCTGGAAACAACCCCTTACCTGTTTGAGGTGCTTCTTAATGAAATGCAGAAGGTACAGGTCAGCTGTGAACTCAACAGTCAGTTTACAAGTTTACCTGAAAAACAACAGGAAAAAGCCACATCTGTTAATTTGGAGAAGCCTATCATTTAATGGGCCCCATAGAGAATTGCAGACCCCAGTTAGGGATCTTTAGCCTCAGAGCAAAAGACTTGGCCAGTGACACGTGGCCAAGGGGTTAGAGCAAATCCTGAGTTTGACTCAGTGACAGGACAATCATAAGCCAGGTGCATAATCTACCATGCCTCAGCTTCCTCTGCTGTAGTATCTATTTCACAGAAGAATTAAGAAAGTCTTCTACGTGCCAGGAACCTTCTATATGCCTGGCGGCACACAAATGAACACATGTTGGGTTCCCTGCCCTCAGGAAGCTTATAATTCACAAAGAAAAGTAAACAGGTAGCAATCCTAATCTTGATACAGATGATAGGAATCAAAGCAAGGGAAATACAAGGTGAAATGTGAACCTCTGCAGAGGTACCAGCTAATTCCAGGGGAGATAAAAGAAACTCTCTAGAGCAAGTGAGGGCTAAGATGAGCCCTGACAAGCTGGAGTTGACCATACTAGAGAATAACAGCAAAATGAGATGCCCTGAAGCAAGAACAGAGTGAATCACAAAAGAAACGGTTGGTGACCATTGGAGATGGTCAGATGACAAAAATCCCTACAGTTATTTCAGGAGAATTGGATATTATCTTGAGGCAAGTGAGAGAGGTATAGGAGAAAGGCATGGTTCAGAGGCTTTCAGCAACACCAGAAAGCAGAATGGGATGGAAGGAGGCAACGACCACCCTTTTTAGCTACCCAAAGTGCCACATCCCTGGTTGCTTGTGATAGAACCAAAAGGAAGACCCTCGTGATCAGAGGTGGAGCCAGGGCTCCCTCCAGCATCTCCAGAGAACCAATGTTTCCAAATTGCAGGTTCCTCTGTGAGAGGTGATTGCCACCAGTACCCATCACCCATAGCCCCCCCACCTCAGGAATAGTGTCTGCCTGACTTAACACACCCTCAGGGGTCAATGAGTGCCTCGGGTCACAAAGGTTCTCAAACGTGGTCCCCAGATCAGCAGCATCAGCACCACCTAGGAATCCGTTAGAAACACAAATTCCCCACCCTACCAGAACTCAGAGCCTCTGAGATGGAGAGCCCAGCAATCTGTGTTTTACCAACTCTTCCAGGTGATTCTGATGCTTGCTAAAGGACAGCTCTGAGGGACAGAGGATGGAACTGGCCCAGCTTATAACCCAACACCAACTCTATTCTCAAGTCCGCACATTCTCTGGGGCCTTTGAAGCCCATTTCTGTTTAAGAGAAAATACACAAAGCTGGTTTTGTAGAGGCTTGGATCAGTTCCTAGCCCTGAAGACCAACTGGTTAGAGCACAAGGAAATGGCACTGCAGGGGGATTCTATTTCCCCAAGCAATGTAGCCCTCACTGGTTTTGAGAAATTTCAAATAAAGTGGACACATGCCTCTCCTTCTTGATGGTTTTCCTTCCACCTAGATACAGAATCTGACCACTCCAGGAACGAAACAGTGAGGTCATCCCAGAAGGCTCCTGTGGTTTTATTAGAGGGTCAAGTTTCTTCCTGGGGTGTGGAACAAAACCGTGTGGTTACAAAGACACCAGTGCCACCCAGGAGCCATAAAGTACTTCAGACTGAGAACAGCCCCATGTAGCTACATCTGTCTTTGAATTGTATCGTTTCCCTCCCCTGAAAAAGCATATTTCTGTGAAATGTAGGTAAAAATCTCACATCCTCGTTTGTTTCACAGCGCTTACTTTCCTTTACTAGAGGGGAAAAAAATGGTTCAAAGAACAGTCTTCAGATCAGTACAATCATTAAGTGAGTGAATGGATACACACTCAGCTTCCACAGTGTGCCCCTCCTGCCAAGGCCACATGGCTTGCTGAACTGCAAGATTTGAAAACAGGCCACAGAACTCCAGAGGTACAGGGACAGTGAGGACTCCAATGCACATCAAGCAACACTGCTGAAATTCAACTTCCTCCCTGCAGATGACACCCCACATCCGCACACTGCAGCTTTAGGGATTCCCCACCTGCCCCTGTGCCTGTGGTGCCCAGGCTTCCTGCTATACCGCACCCATCCCATCGCACCAACCATTTCTCATTTTGTGTGTTTCATAAGCTGACTTTGCCTCTAGGGTGCAGCTGAGACGGATCCTGCATCTATAGAAGTGGAGGTTAATGCTGATATAATGATGTGGAAAGCTGATACTTAATCTCCCAATTCACTTAGATCAGAACAGAGCTGGTCCGGGGAGGATGGGGCCCATCTGAACCAACTTTTGGTTATCCATTAGTTCAGAAGGAGATGTTCATTAGCTCTCAGGTCTGAGCCAAAGCAGGGAAACAGGTGAGAAAAGTCAGTGTCAGATATTCTTAAAACATTTCTCTGCAAAAGCTTAATGCTCAAAGCCCAATATCCCTGAGAATGCCTAAAGCACTTAGTAATCAGTGTCTATAAAACTTTCCTAAAAATAAAAGCTTCAGGGAACTGACTCCCTACCCTGTTGACAAAGGTCTCTCTCATTTGGTTCTATCAAGGATAAGAGCCTGTCTGTAATGACAGAACAGGTCAAGATAAGAAGGGAAGTTGTCCAGTGGGAAAGAGACAGCCCTTCACAACCAAGTATTCCAGAGATGAGTGTGCCCCAGCCAGGGMCAATATCACAGGCTCAGATGAACAGGTTTCTACAGTGATATTTCTCCAAACTGGTATTTCTAGAACCTGCCTGAGCACAACAATCGCCTAGAAGCTTTGTTTAAAAAAATTGAGATTCCCGGGCTGGGGTTGTGGCTCAGCAGTAGAGCGCTCGCCTCACACGTGCGAGACGCTGGGTTCAATCCTCAGCACCACATAAAAATAAATAAGTGCCCAACTACAACTAAAAATAAATATTAAAAAAGAGATTCCCAGGACCCACCTCAGAACTCGAGGTCAGAACCCCAGGGAAGCAGATTGGGAGTCCACATGTCTAGCAGCACCCAGCAATTGTCAGGCCAGTTTCAGAATCATGCTCCAGAGGAAAACAATAGGCAACTTTTAAAAACTTTGTAATCACGTAACTTCAAAGTGATACAGTGTGGGAAAATGCAGATTTAATTGAAGGAAGTTAGAGCCTTCTTTATCTAGTTAAACTTATGGAATATAACATGTAATGAGGAAATCAATTTAACTAAAACTTAACCAAAAAATACCCTCCCCCATAACTTCATAACTTAACCATGTTTCAACAGGAAGACCTCCAAAATCATCCTGCCCTAAGGATTATGGGAATCTCTGCATAGCTGCTCCTGGAAGCCCCTTAGAAGTCCACAAGGAAGTGCCAGGACTGAGGTCTTATGTCGCGTGCCAGCAGAGGCCAGCTCTAAGTAGCAGGATACAGCCCCTCCTGACAGGCAAAGTTTGGCCTTTACAGGTCTCAGCCTCCACCTGGCTATTCTGCAGCTTCATTCCTACCCCAGCCTCATGTGACTGACAATTGCTGGGTGCCGAGTACTGTGTATTCCCAAGCTGCTTCCCTGGGGTTCTGACTTTTGAGTTCCGAGGTGGGTCCCAGGAATCTCTATTTTTTAAACAAAGCTTCCAGGTGATTGTTAGGCTCAGGCAGATTCTAAAAATACCAGTCTCCTCCACCAGTTGAACAGCATCACCAGGAGAGTTCATTAGAAATGCAGACTCCCAGGCCCCACCAAATCTGCTAAATCAGAAACTGCATTTTAACAAGATTCTGGGTGATGCCAATGCACACTCAAAGTTAGAGAAGCACTACTTGAAGGGATATGGAAGACCAGTGTGAGACTTTTATCCCTACGCACAGAACATGAGCCTACCCTCCTCACCCCACACTCAAGAGGCTTTCTTCCCTCACACTCTTTACTCACGCCTGTCAGTCCTGGTTTGTCTTGGGTCAAATCAACACCAGCAGGACCCAATAACTAGCTGACAATCCAAAGCCCAATTGTTAGGGAGTTGAAAAGATGCAGGAAGTACCAATTGTCTCTCCCATTCTCACTGGGCTCTTATATCTGCCTCCCTTAGAAGGCAGGAATATGGATCCCGTGACCATAAATCAGTAGAGACAATCCAAAGTCAAACAATGCCATGGAATGCTGGCTCTTTTGGTTCCAACACAATGTTAATGAGGTCGGGGTCACGGGCATGATTAGCTTCCTCTGTATCTTGGCACAGACTCCAGCCCTCTGCCCTCCAGTTGCCTGCACAGGCTGACGCAGCCTCGGTTACTAACAGAAGTTGGTGGGAATGACAAGGCGAGGCTGAGCAGAGCAGTACCAGTAAACCCAAAGGACCTGAAAGTCCAATGAACAGAATACACGGAGGAACAGCATACAGCCCAGATGTAAGGCTGACAGGACAGACGACCAGGTCAGAATTCAAAATTATCTGGACAGGCTAGACACGCCAGAACTGAGAAAGCTACAATTTTATGAGAAGAAATGGGAAGTTCCGTGGTCAAGATTTTAAAGATCAAATACAGAGAGAGAGAAAATCTAACCAGATGGCAGTTCTTAATTTAAAAAAAAAAAAAATGTTTTAAAAGATTTTAAAACGGCTGGGGATGTGGCTCAAGCGGTAGCGTGCTCGCCTGGCATGTGTGATCCTCAGCACCACATCCAAAGATGTTGTCTCTGCCCAAAACTAAAAAAATAAATAAATAAATATTTTTAAAAAAAAAAAGATTTTAAAACATGACAATTTTGTTGATCAAGGTGGCTGTGAAGAAAGTTTGCATACTCTTAGAGCCCACAGGTCTACTTTTCAGGTCAGGAGAAGCAGCAGCCCCACCCTCGCTCCAGTATAGTTGATCAGACCATCCTAGATAACCCTCCTGGCCACCTGGCCACATAGGTGCATATACAGCCTGTCACCCCTTTCCACCACTAGGGTTCTCATTAACCACTGTGGCTGGCCTCTTCACCCACACTGTCCCCAGCTACAACTCTTTTTGGCTTTACAACAGTTTAACTATTCTATGTACCAGTTTC